GGCCGATCCACCTCCTGGAGTCGCTGCTGCCGCGGCACCTGCAGCTCATCTACGAGATCAACCAGCGCTTCCTCGACGTGCGTGGGGGGCAATGGGGGGCTTGGGGGGTGAGGGGGTGGGGGCACTCGGGTCTGGGGGCACCTGGGCCCTTGAAGGGGAACCAGGGGGCCTCAAACCCCTGGGCTCTTGTGGAGTAGATGGGGCACAGGTGGGGCCAGACCCCTGGGCCCTTGGGGAGCACCTGGGAGACACTTGAGGGGCAGTTGAGGGACAGTGGGGAGCAAGGGGGTGCCTCGGTAGCTGAGGTGTCCCTGGGGCAGCAGTGGGGGGAACCTGGGGACAGTGGGGCCAGTTGGGGCAGATGGGACCAGTTGGGGGTCCCAACCCCCTGTGCCCACCCTCCCATTGTGTCTACATCGCATTCCCCTGGAACAGTTGAGTCTCTGGGTTGGGCAGAGGGGGTAGTGAGGGCAGTGGGTGCAGTGGGGGACGTGGTGCCCCCTCCCAATGCCCTGTGCCCCTCTTTTTTTACCCAGCGTGTCTATGCCATGTTCCCCGGGGACCACGACCGCCTGCGCCGGATGTCGCTGGTGGAGGAAGGTGCCGTCAAACGCATCAACATGGCCCATCTGTGCATCGTGGGGTCTCATGCTGTCAACGGCGTTGCTGCCATCCACTCCCAGATCCTCAAGGACAGCGTGTAGGGGCCCCCCCGGCACTCCAAAATCCCCCACAGCCCCTTGACTTCCCCCTTGCCCCTCACAGCCCCCACTTCTGACTGTCCCACCATCAACTCCGCTACCTGCATCCACTCCCAGGTTCCCAAGGACGTTGTGCACAGACCCCCAGCCCCTAAATCCCCCTCGGCCCCTCACAGTCCCCCCATCTCACCCCCAGCCCCCCACATCCCTGTGCAACCCTCCCATCTCGCTGTGCCTCTTGGCCTTTTCCTGTTGTTGTTCCTTGTTCATCCTCCTCCCTGTCCCCATCCCTGGGGGTCCCTGGGGGGCCCTGTGACTCTCTGGATCTCCCTATGGGTCCCTGTGGGTTTCTGTGATTCTCTGGATCCCCCTGAGGATCCCTGGGGGTCCCTGCTGTGACCCCCCACCCCACACGCTGCCCTCCACCCAGGTTCAAGGATTTCTACCAGCTGGAGCCCCAGAAGTTCCAGAACAAGACAAATGGGATCACCCCGAGGCGCTGGCTGGTGCTGTGCAACCCCGGCCTGGCCGAGGTCATCGCACAGGTGAGGGCTCACCTGGGCTCCATGGGACCACTTGGGACCACCCAGGCTCACCTGGCCTCACCTGGGCTCACCAGGGGGTCCTCTCCTTTCCCAGCGCATTGGGGAGGATTTCGTGTCCGACCTGGACCAGCTCCAGCGGCTCCGGGACTTCGTGGACGATGAGAGTTTCATCCGTGACGTGGCCAAAGTCAAGCAGGTAAGGGGGGATGGGGGCTTGGAGGAAATTTTGGGGTCCCCATGGGTTTAGGGGGTGCTGGGGGGTTCCATGAGGGTCCCAGCAACCCCTCCCCATTCCAGGAGAACAAGATGAAGTTCATGGTGTACCTGGAGAAGGTGTAGGGGGTGTGGGTGAACTGGCCCTGGGGGAGCTGTGTCAGGCTGTGGGGGCTGTGGGGTCCTGGCACCCCCAACCCCCTCAGTCATCCCCCCCTGCAGGAGAACAAGGTGAAGTTCGCAGCCTACCTAGAGAAGATGTCGGGAGTGCGGGTGAACCCCGCCTCGCTCTTTGATGTTCAGGTGAAGCGGATCCACGAGTACAAGAGGCAGCTGCTCAACTGCCTCCACATTATCACCCTCTACAACCGTGAGTGGGGACCCCCGGGGACCCCCAAACCTAGCCAGTACTGCCCCCCAAACACCCTGAACCCCCGTGGGACTCCCCACCCAGAGACAGCCCCTTGGGACACCCCAGACACCCCAACAGGGACCCCAAATGCCTCCACATCATCATCCTCTACAACCATTATTGGGGACACCTGGGCACTCCCAAATCTCCCTGGGACCCTCCCACACCGAGACAACCCCCCAGAGACCCCCGAAAACCACCCAGTGGGACCCAGCCCCTGGCAGCCCCTGGCAGCCCCCTGGAACCCCCCAGCCAACCACGACATCACCCCCTACAGTCATGAGTCCCCACCCAAAATGGGCGGGACTCTCCCCAAGGACAGTGAGAACCCGCCTGGGGGCCCCAGTGTCCACTCCCTCCCCGATCTGGGGGCTCTTCCCTGATTTGTGGCCCCCCCATTTTGGGATCCCCTCCCATTTCAGGGATCAAGAAGGACCCCGGGAAACCCTTCGTGCCCCGAACCATCATGATTGGGGGCAAGGTGAGGGAAGAGCCTGGGGAGTTTGAGTGGTTTTGGGAGGGGCCTAGGGGGGTTCAGGGGGATTTTGGGGACTCCTGGGGGCAGTTGGGGGGCTGGGGGTGCTCAGAGGGGTCCTGTGGGAATTTGGGGAGCTTCAGGGGGGCTCTCTGGGGGCTTGGGAGGGTCCTGGTGCATGTGAGGGGTCTCTGGGGGCTGGGGGGGGTCTCTGGGGGTCCCATCGAGTTTTGGGGTGCCCCTGACCCTCCCACTCCCACCCCAGGCAGCCCCCGGGTACCACATGGCCAAGATGATCATCCGGCTGGTGACGGCGATTGGGGACGTGGTGAACCAGGATCCGGCGGTGGGAGATCGGCTGCGGGTGCTGTTCCTGGAGAACTACCGGGTGTCCCTGGCTGAGAAAGGTGGGGAATTCCAAAACCCCCCAGCGAACCCCCAAAACACCCTGTGAACCCCAAAAACACCCCCAAGCCCCTCAAACCCGCCCTCGACACCCAAATCCCCCCTTCAGTGTGGGGGCTGTTACTGGAGAACCATTGGGTGTCCCTGCTTGAGAAGGGGGACACACACCCCAAAACACCCCCAAGCCCCAACACCTGCCCCAAAACCACACCCAACACGTGTCCTGCCCCGCAGTGATCCCGGCGGCCGACCTGTCAGAGCAGATCTCCACGGCGGGCACGGAGGCCTCGGGCACCGGGAACATGAAGTTCATGCTCAACGGGGCCCTGACCATCGGCACCATGGACGGGGCCAACGTGGAGATGGCGGAGGAGGCGGGCGAGGAGAACCTCTTCATCTTCGGCATGAGGGTGCCTGACGTCGAGGCCCTCGACAGACAGGGGTGGGGGTCCTGAGGGATCGGGGGGGCCCCCCGCTGCATCCCACGAAACCCCCATAGCTCCCACAGCTCCCATTGAACCCCAGGGTGCCCCCGCGGTGACACGGGATCCTCAACCCCCCCGTGCCCCACTCGTACCCCCCCCCAGTATCTCACCTGTGCCACCCCGTCTCTCACCTGTGCCCACCTGTGCCCAGGTACCGCGCCCAGGAGTTCTATGACCGCCTGCCCGAGCTCCGCCAGGCCGTGGACCAGCTCAGCTCCGGCTTCTTCAGCCCCCGCCAACCCGACCTGTTCCGCGACATCGTCAACATGCTCATGAACCACGACAGGTCCCACAGGGGGCGCTGTCGGAGGGAGGCGGCGGGTTGGGGTCTCCTGGGTGGGGGGTCCCCAGGCCAGGGAGGACCCGGTTTCCGGGGATCTGGGGGGAGTTGGTGGGGGTGGACTCAGATGTCAGACCCCCCACGACTAGGGGGGTCTCGGACACCTGGGCCCCCCCTGACTCCCCAAATCCCCCCCCAGGTTCAAGGTGTTCGCGGATTACGAGGCGTATGTGAAGTGCCAAGAGAAAGTCAGTGCCCTCTACAAGGTGGGTACCTCCCCAAAAGTGACACCCCCCCCCCCAAAAGGGACTCCTCAAAAAAGAGACTCCACAAAAGGGCCCCCCAAAGCGACACCCCCAAAAGGACCACCCCAAATACATGGGGAAGTGATGGGGGTTTCAGGGGGTTCCCAAAACCCTGGAGGGGATACGATGGGGTTCCCAAATCCCATGGGAACAGAAGGGGTGGACATGGGGCTCGGGGGTGTCCGGGAGGGGACTGCGAGCCACAGGCGGGGGTGGGGAGCTCCAAGGGGGTTCCGGGGGTGCTTTTGGGGTTCTCTCCCCCCCTGACCCCCTCGGCCCCTCCCCCAGAACCCGCGGGAATGGACCCGGACCGTGATCCGGAACATCGCGGCCTCCGGGAAGTTCTCGAGCGACCGGACGATCGCTCAGTACGCGCGGGAGATCTGGGGCTGCGAACCCTCCCGGCAGCGCATTCCCGCCCCCGACGAGTAGGGGATTCCCCCCGCCCGGGACCCCCCCCCGGAGCCCTCCGCCCGGGCAGTGCTGAACCCCCGCACCCAGGGACTGCCCCGACCCCACCGTGTGCCTTCAGCCCCCCCAGATCGCCTCCCAAACCCTCCCCCCAACTGCTCCAGACACCTGGGACCCCCCTGGACCCCACCACGTGCCTTGGCCTCCCTAAATCCTGCCCCCTCAAATTTACTGGAGGGGTCAGGGCGATTCCCGACATTTGGGGCAGTTTGGGGCTCATTTGGTCATTTTTAATTTATTAAGGGAGGGTCCCCCCTCTGCCTCCACCTCGGGAACTGGGGGGGGCTGGGGGGAGGAGGACCCTGCGGCATCACTGGGTGAACTAGGGGGGTCCCTCCCCTAAAAATAAGGAAAATAAAGGAATCAAAGGTAAGAAAGGAATTAAAGAAATTAAAAGAATTAAAGAAAATAATTTAAAAATTAAATTAAGGACAATAAAGAAATTACAGAAATTCCGGATTTTTGATGTCTCCTCCCCCGGGATCTAGGTTCCCCTCTCAACATTTAGGGAGTCTAAAGGGGTTCTTATGGGAGGGATCTGGGGGGGCTCCGGCCTCCCGGGGTGGTTCTGGGGCCTCCACCCTCCTCGCCCCTCCCGGGGCGCTCCTGGCACGGCGTTTCTGTTTAACCACAAACCACTTCCCCCTCCCCACCCATCCCGGGCACCTCAAAACCCCATCCGAACCCACCCCAAGCCCCCCCAGATCCCGGCTCCGCCCTGCCCGCCCCTCCCGTGTCCTCCCGCCACGGCCGCGGCCACCAGAGCAGGTGGGTCCGGGCTGGGAGGTCTCGGGGGTCCCAGGGAACTCTGGGGTATCTAGGGGGATCTCGGGGAGTCCCGAAGGGTCTCGGGCGCGGGGAGGGAGTGGGGCGAGGAGCGGGGCAGTGCAGGATCCCCGCGTGTCCCCCAAGAGCCCCCTACCAGTGCTTCCAGTTCCCAGTGTGCTCAGTGCTCCCAGTACTGGCCCTGTCCCACAGCTCCCAGTTTTTCCAGCACCCCCATCCCATTCCTCCCAGTTACCCTCATTCCAGTACCCGGGGGTACCCCTGTCCCAGTGCTCCCAGCAACCCCGGTTCAGTTGTCCCAGTGCCCCGGGATACTCCCATTTTAGTGGTCCCATTCCCGTCGCCAGTGCCCCCAGTGTCCCTCACTCCCATTTCCCCCAGTCCCTCCCAGTCCCCTCCAGTCGTGTGTCCCACCCCCGTACTGGGACGCTCCGGAACTGGGGCTCAGGAAACGCCGCGTTATCGGTGAGTGCAGGACCCGGGAGGGGGGAAATTGGGGTGTCAGGGGCGACTCGGGGAGAGCGGGAGGGGAAATTGGACCACCCCCACCCCCCGCCCGCGAGGGTTGTGCAAACGCTTGTGCAAGACCCTGTCTGGGACAAGGGGGCTGCGGGGGGGTCTGGCACTTCTAAACCGAGACCCCCAGAGCCAGAGACACCTCCTGCCGAGACCTCCAAATCGGGACTTCTGGGGTTCGGGGAACTGGGACCCCTAAGGGCTCCCCCCAAGATCCCTCCCAGCCCCTCCAAACCAGCCCCTTCGTGCCCAAGGGACCCCCAAAATGAGACCCTTCAGGACATGGAGACCCCTCGGGCCCCCCCAGCTCCACTTTGGGAGGTCCTGGTGGGTCCCTGGTGCTGACTCTTCCCCCCTCCACGATCCCCCCAGTTTTTGGGTCTCACCATGAGCTGCTCCCTGGACCTGGATCAAGCCCCCACCCTGGATGAGCTGCTGCGGGGCTGCGTCGATGCCTTTGGTGTGGGGGGGGCCCCGGATTGGGGGTCTGGGGAGGGGTCTGAGGGTCCAGGGGTGACCCTGGGGTTTGCGGAGTCCCCGAGGTCTGGGGGGATTCCAGGGCTTGGGGGGTTCCAGTGTTTGGGAACCCCCTGGATTTGGGGGCCCCTGAGGTTTAGGGGTTTCCTGGGGCTCGATGGGCCCCAGCATTTGGGAGGGCCCTGGGATTTGAGGGGGGGCTCTGGAAGGCGCTTGGTGGGAGGGGGGCTGTGCACCTTCTGAGTCCCAGGGGTTTGGTTTGGGAGGGTTCTGGGCTTTGGGGTGTCCCTGAGGTCTGGAGAGCTCTAGGGGGAAGAGTTCAGGGGTTTGGGGGGGGGTTCTGGGGAGGTTGGGGGTCCCAGAGGGGTTTTGGGGTGTTGCTGTGGTTTTGGGGTGACCCCTCTGCCCCCCAGACGCGCAGGGGAAGGTTCGGGACCCCCAACTCGTCCGGCTCTTCCTGGCGACGCACCCCTGGTACCTCCCCCAGGCTGAGGTGGCCGGGAAGCTGCTGAGCCTATATCCTTGGGGATCCCTCCAGAGCCCCCCCCCCGAAACCTTCCAGGACCCCCAAACTGCCCCAGGGACACCCTAAACCCCCGAGAACCCCCCAAAACCTCCCTGAACCCTTCGGAACCATCCCGGGACCCCAACCCCACCCCAAGGGCACCCCAAATTCTCCAAGACCCCCAAACTTCACAGGATCCCCCCCAAAACACCACCCCTGGTACCCGCCCCAGGCCGAGGTGGACGGGAAGCTGCTGATTTATTCTTGGAGACCCCACGGGACACTCCTGAGATGCCTTTCTTTGACCCCTTGGAGGGCCCTGAATCCCTGGGGACCCCCGACAGCCCCCCAAATATTCCTGATTCCCCAGGATGTCCCAAGCCCCCCAGGGACCCCCTCCCGACCCCCCCAAGCCCCTCAGGACCCCTCTGGGAACTCCCAAATCCCTGCACAGACTCCTTGACCCCTCCACGGTGCAGGAGGCAGGGGACTCGGCCGAGGGTCCCTCTCTGCGCCTCAAGATCGGCCACTTGGTCCGGTGAGTGACCCAAAAAACCCCTCTGGGCCCCTCCAAACCCCCTGGGACCCCAAAGGCCCCTCTGGGAACACCCAAACCGTATTGGGACTCCCAAACCCTCTCAGGAACCCCCAAAACTCTCTTCTTGGACCCTCCAGACACCTCTGGGGAACCTGGAACCTCCCCTGGGGACCTTCAGGCCCCCTCCAGAGACCCTAAATCCCCCCCCAGACCCCCAACCTCCCCCAGAAACTGTAAAACACCCATCTGGGGACCCCATGTCCCCCTCAGGGACCCCACAGACCCCCTTTGGGAACCCCACAGTCTCCCAGGGACTGCCACAAACCCTCTCTGAGGACCCCATAATCTCGTTAGGGACCCCCCAGATTTTTGGGGTTTCCCTGAGCCCTCTCCTTCCCCTCCCCCAGGTACTGGATCCGGGCATTCCCGCGGGAGCTCTCCGGGGACCCCCAGGTCTTGGGGCGGCTGCGGGAACTGGAGGCGGAGCTGGGGGGGGACTCCAAGACCTCCCTTGGCCTCGGTAACCTGTACGTGGGGGGGACACAGGGGGCGATGGGCGGCATTGGGACTTGGGGTGACGGGGATGGGGG